CATTGCACTCTTCGAGTGATACCAAACTGAAGGACATACGGTTCCCTCCCTCGAGCAATACAGCCAAATTTTGGGATGTTTTCCGAGCTGATAGGTCAAACAGGTGCTATGCTTGGGGTGACAAAAGGAAGTTTTGAGGCCCAGTAGCCTTAAATAGAGTAGATAAGGACTATATGCTAGAATGAGCTAGTTTTCTGTAATTAAGTGTCATCTAATTAGGCCAAAGGGTAAACTGAACATGCACGAAGACCGAGTTCAATCGGTGGATGCAGTGAGGAAGACTATGGATTATTTATTTATTCCCTGTATTCCTTGTATTTAAATTGGGCGATGGATCATCTACGGGTGGGGGAATTTTAAAGAAGTCACCTTTGGGTTCTATCCTTAGTCACTGGAAACAAATTGGTGGACCCCCTGGCGGGGTTGCAAAAAGGGAAGATTTAATTAAGTACTGTAATCAATGGTGGCCACTATATAAACTGGATGATGGAGAAAATGGCCAGTAAATGGTACTTTAAATTATAATACTCTGTTACAGTTAATGTTGTTTTTAAGGAGAGAGGGAAAATGGGTTGAAGTGTTATATGGAGATATGTTCTTTATGTTAAGGAATCACCCAGAATGGCAGAGAAAATGTGGTACAAACTTGGCACGTAGTGACCCATTTGTTCTGGCTCTGGAAAAAGAGAAAGGTAAGACTTTGAAAAGATGCTGTTCTGCTTGCAGTATAGGACAGAGGTGTCTAAAGGTTTGTGAACAAGCAGAGGATGACACTGAATTACTGGTAGCCCCCAAACGGCGCTTGGGACCCCGAAACAATGAACATGAACTGGGAACAGACAGTAGAGGGCAGCAAGGAAACGGGTCGGTATTAGGAGCAGAAGGATCAGATGATGGGTCTAAGAGGGGTATTGCAGGCACAGCTCCGGTGGCGGTGGCGGAGAGAACTCGGGGTTGGCAGAGCTGTGGTATGAGCCCCGATGAGAGAAGCAGTTGGGAATGATGATCTGGTTGTAGTGAAGGTGCCTTTTTTGGTCACAGGCTTAAATAACTGGAAAATAGCTGCCGGTAGCTACCAGGATGATCCCGATCGAGTGGCCAGTACTTTTGAAATGATGATTAGAACTCAGGATCCAGATTGGAAAGACACTGAAGCTATCTTGCAAGTGTTGTTTGACAGTACAGAAGAGAAACGATCCGTAAAGCTGCGAGAACTCAAGTCGAGGCACAGATAGCGGCAGGGGCATTGCAGGGGCTGCAATAAAGAATGTCTGCTTCTAAAACTCCAAACTGACTCTTAGAGAGTTATCTTTTTGCCGTCTTACGGTAACACAGGCAGCCGTCATGGACGGTTCCTGCTTAACCCCTCTCAGACGTGGTTCACAGTGGTGAACTGCTGGCAAACTGCGCTCACTCACTGCTCACAAAGAAGGTGGTTTTGAGGCTGAAGTGGGCAGCAAGGCCCTGAGCCCCAAGGTTTGTGAGGCAATGAAAGCGCTGCCAGGGGACAGTGAGGACAAGGCACAGCTTTCCACGCTGGCCCCTTTGGTGTGGGAGCAATGGCTGGACATTCGGTATTTGTGAGCCTGGCCCACAGGAGAGTGAAAAAAGGTGGGTTTGAGGAGGTATCACAGAAACACACAAAATCACAGAATGGTCAGGGTTGGAAGAGACCTCGGGAGATCATATCATCCACCCCCCTGCCAGAGCAGGGGCACCTCCAGCAGTGGCACAGGACGGCGTCCAGGCAGGTTTGGAATGGCTCC